CTATCGATATAATTATCTAAATGATAATAACATTGTTCGTAATCATTAATAACGATGAATTTAGGTTTTCATATTTGAAACAACTTTAGACATAAAAATTAAAATTCACAAGTAGATGAGATATGTTTTCTACCTTCTCATTTATTCCAAACAAACCCTTAAATATTGTAGTAGGTATTCAATTATCCTCACTCCTTTTTTCTTTAGAGGAAATCAGTCTCACTCGTCATATCAAAGAATCTTTCCACAATGGTATGCACTTACATGTTTGTGTATGTATGTATAGATACATATATGATTAAAAAAAATATATCATTGTCTTATATTATATACACACACACCGAGCTTCAAATATAATACATATATATATATATATATAAATTAGGATTATGATAGAAAAAATTGATACCCAGAAGAACATAAAATAAAATAAAAAAGAGAAGAAGAATAGGGAAGAAGCTAGTTATGTTTGATGTTGATTAGTTGAATTGAAGTTTCAAATGGTTGTCGTCCTTTTATCATGTGCTACAAAATGATTATCACATAAAAAAATTAATTTGTTATAACTTTAGGGAACCTTTTTTTTTTCATATATACTTCCAAAATAGTTCATCATGTATATGCTATTTCTCCACCAATAAAACATTTTCACAGGCATGAACTAAGGAGAGATCTGGGAGCACCAATCATAACTCATTATCAAAATTAAATTATTGTATTAATGAATATCTCCCCTACATACATATGTATATATATATATATATGTTTGCATGTATATCTGGATATATCTGTATACACACGCACAAGAGACCACCCACGCAGCAAAAGCTTGCAAAATTTACAAGCAAAGATATAATTAAGAACTTGGGAACAATTTTTTAATGGTTAATTACATAATCAACACACTATTTGAGCGTTTTACAACAACTAATATGTGAAATGTCACTAAAATGAAAAGTTTGAATTATACACGCATGTGAATTTGAAGAATAATGTATATATAGCATGCCCTTAATTCTAGTTTTTCTTCCAAATAAAACAAATATTAGTGCTAGCCAACAAATTCCTCCTACACAAACTATTATACCATATGTACATTACTTTTATTAGTTTCTCTTGAAAAATATACGCGTGTATATATATAAACCATGATATTTATAGAGAGAGTAAAGTTATATATAGCCTTCGCCTTAAGGTAAAAGGAAGTTCTAGTTAAGAAGACTTGCTAATTGGTAAACATTTTGATATTTTGAAATAAGGTTCATTTTATTAACTTATAATTTAATGTGCACAAAATACTTAAATAACTAAATACTTGATTTATTTATCATTTGACTTTTGATATATATATATATATATATAAATAAAACTATTAATTTTAAGACCCAACACTATATTTGACTGATAGCTATTATATATTTAAATTATTTAATTTATAAAAGTAAATAGTAAATTTGTAGATTAATTTAATTGAAGTCTTTATAATTATTAATTTTGTACTCTTATTTACAATTGATTTTTTTATTTTATAAAATTGAAATCTAAATCGAACTTTAACATTGAAAAAATTGTAATTTAAATCGCAAGTAGTTCCATAATTACCGTGGCATGCTATGACTAATTATGTAGAGGTGGGTATTTGCAATTTACCATCATGTGATTTCACCAAAAACTTAATTACAAATTAACTTGATGGAGACGAGACCAAGTATGAGAAGTAGTGTGAGGAGGATGAAAACTAACACCAACAAAAAGACAAATATCTTGCTCTTACTTAAAATTATTATTATTATTTATATATATATATTTTTTTTAAAATAAAAATAAATATTTTATGATAATTAATTAATTAAATATATATATTTTATTAAAATAATAATAATAATAATAATAATAAAGATGAGTTAAAAAGAGAAAAAACTAATGAAGAATTAATTAAAATAAAGTAAAGAAAAGGAAGAAGGGTTGGGACCCACAGTAATCCAAGTGGGAAAATGGAACCATGTGCCATCATATGGTGGTTGGGTGTTTCAGCCCCACAAAAAAGAAGACTCCAAACTCCTCCCTCTGTGTTACTAAATTTAATCTTTAACTTAATTTATTAATATTAAATAATAACACTTCTTTTTATTAAAAAAAATTATATAAAAAGTTTTTAAATTTTTAATTTTATTTAATGAAATTCTATCCATCTTCAATATTTTTTTTAAAAAAAAAAAATTAATAATTTAACATTTGATTAATTTTATTTATTTTTTTTGTATTTTGAGCAGTTACTAATTAATATTATATCAACAATTTGCTCTTTGTATTTGATTCCCCCCCACTCTCTCCTTCCTCTTTACACCTCCCATTTCCAATCCTCTCTCTCTCTCTCTCTCTCTCTCCCTGTTCTCTTCTTTCTTCACGATCTGTTTCTCTCTCATTCTCATTCTCTGCACATGCTTTTGTTTTTCCTCCTGAAAACCTCCCCATCCACATCTCTCTCTCTCTCTCTCTCTTTTCTCTCTCTTCCAATTTATTGTTTTCTGGTTGGTGTGTGTAGATACTGTGTGTCAGAGTTTAACTAAAAATTTTCCTTTTGTCTTTCTGAAACTCAGAGGTGTCCCTTCCTGTCAGAACCCAATATCTCTCCTCACCCATCATATATCTCTCCTTACAAACCCTAATTACCTCCATGAATCACCACCGTCCTTCCCTCAAGTCTAGGTTTACAAGACGCTTTCTTCCCGCCCTCATCGAGATTACTAAACAACCCCTCACTTCCATAGCCTCCTCATCCTCTCCAAACCAACTCTTTCGACGATACAACAGGGTCAAGATCGCCGCTGACAAGTCCATGGTTCGGGCAGTCGGGTCAAAGCGAGCTTGGACACGGGCTCTTCTTTTCAAGATCAGGAATCAAGCACGCCGCCGGGGTTTAGCCAGGAGGATCAGAAGCCAGTCTTTGATGATCAAGAGGTCAACAAGTATTATTGCTTCTACTACTTGCGGGAAAGATGAGAAGAAGGAGGAAGACGATGATAGGGTTGAGCAAGTGGAGGAGCTTCGGAAGCTGGTGCCCGGAGGTGAAGCCATGGATTTGTGCAGGTTGTTGGGTGAGACAGCACATTACATAAAGTGTCTTAATACTCAAGTTCAGGTGATGAGAAGTATTGTTGACCTCTACTCCACTCCATGATTCATACTTACACACACACACACACACACACGTATATATAAATAAATATATCAGTTATATATAAGCAAACATGATATATATATATATATATATATTGAAGGTGGTAAAGTTTAAGCTCTATAGGAGGAGATTCTCAGATATATATATATTAAAAGTGGAAGGGAAAAACTGGGTATTAATTGGTTTTGAAGTAAGAGTATAGTAAATATATATATATATATATTCACTATAATTATGTGAATACGTCTACTTTACTTGGTGTGTAAAATTACATATATATGCTTTTACTTTACCTTACAAGCAATTGTCTCTTTGTTTTGTTGTTGGATGTAAAATGACAGCTTTCCCTCTCTCCTTCTCTCCCTCTCTCTCTCTCTCTCTCTCTCTCTCATCATTCACTGATGATAATGATCAGTACTGAAGTGATTTTTAGTGTTGCAGGAGTAGATTAAATTCAGGAAGCTTCAATAAGGTGAGAGACACACACATATTTAAGTACATGATATGATCATCATCTCTTTGCATTCTGATCAGAAAAGTAATTAATTATATATAAACTTCCTTCATACATGTATGTGTATACCTATACATACAAATTAAACCATTCACAGGGAAATCAAAGATTGCAAGAAACAAAAAAGAGATTAAAGAGAGAAGGGTATAAGAAAAGTAAACTAAATGATGAATATATATATATATATGTATATATTGGTAGATATAATTATATATGATCTAGCGGAGTTTGTGTTGGGTGTGTTTAGGGTTGTCATGCATTTGCTTGTAAAAAGTGCTGACCTAATCATTCCTCTATGTCGACTTTCCCTTCTCCATGCCTACTGGCTACTGTGTTTAAACCTTTAAATTCTTAAATCAATAACTCATCAAATCAGTTTTTTTTTCCTGTCTAATTAATTTGTTTCTTATTGTGTTTTTGCAAGTAATCCAAAATTGTGCATCAGTTTGGAATCCAATCAATAAAGCGGAAAACTCTAATCATTTTGTGGTCAACAATCACTAGAATTGTGTCTTTTCCAATCCACTACTGTACAGATTGATTTAAATCCCTCATACATGCATAAAGTGCTTCTCCTGCAACTTAACTCTATATATATATATATATATATATCTATATATATATAGATACATCTTATATATATGTACATTATATGCTAAACTATAATCAGGGTTTTGCAGACTATCATGAAACTTTATAGTTAGAACAAGTAATTAATGTATACAGCGAAAAAATACACCCTTAGCCCATATTTATATATAAATTTGTACTATTAATTCTACGCTACATAAAGTATGAACTATCTAAACATAGAACACTAACGTATATCCCTCAAAAGAGTAACTATATTTGTTTTATGGCAGCCAGCTGTATATGTTTTATACATACAAAAACACTTACAGTAGCTTATTTCAATGTAGGAGTATTGATGTTTTTTAATTCGTTTTCTTTGGGTAAAATTCTGCGGGCTATATGTGTTGATATATATATGTGTGTGTGTGTGTGTGTGTGTAGTATATCAACGTGTGTGTAATCTATAAAAGATTCGTGCATGGACGCTAACCATTAAAATAACTGTATATGTATATATATATATGTATACCTTAACTATATATCTGGAGGAGCTATAAGTAAGTACTGTTCCCTAATTTTATTATATTATTGATATAGTAAATAATTTATATATAAATTTGGAGCCTAAGAGTTGAAAGCGTCGGCTAGCTCCGCTCACTTGGTTGTAACTTTTATTTTTTCCTTCCTCAAAACATTAGAAAATTTACTGAATGTTTTATATAGATCTGGAGAAATGTATATACTGAGTTTTTCCCACCCTCAAAATCCATTCTCACTTTGTTTTTTCTGTTTGGTTTGGGTTCGGGAGAAGGGGAAGAAAGATGGAGAAAGAAAAGCCAAAAAAAAAAAAAAAATCAGTATTTGAAAATACATTATTTGTTAACTATTTTTTAAATTTTTAAAATTTTTAAATTAAGGAATAAATACATTTTGATTATTAATATACAACCAAAGTAAAAAAAAAATTCTTAAAAATTAGAAAAAAAAAATGGAGTTGATGAAATTTTATTATTTTCCAATGTATTTATAATTTAAAAAAAAAACGTATATATATTTCAAATACTTCAAAATATATGGGAAATAATTTTAAAGTTAATATAAATAAGTTTAAATATTACCTTATTGATTTAAAATAAAAATAAAAATAAAATTAATTTATTTTGAATTTATTTATACAATTTTTTTTTTAAAAAACATTTTTGTGTATATTAACTGTTTTTACGTTTAAAGATTTTAAGATCATGAATTTTATTTTTGTGGGACAATTGAAAATATATTTTCTATTATTTTAATTACATAATACATGTATGTTGAATTTAAAATATTGGTTTATTTATCTTATATTTTCATAAATATGTATTATATATGTTCGTTTTCATACTATAAGTAATTGATTAGTACTTCAAAATGAAATTAATGTGATTTAAAATTTTGGAAAATGTTGAAATTGGTTGGTCACCTTCATGCCTCCCTTTCCAATCGGACTTGATCTGTTCAACCACTTTGCAAAATCTTGCCTTCCTTGGGACGCACCTGACCGGAACTTTCTCTGGTTTGTCCTCATCATCTTCCAGTACCCTCATCTCCGGTGGCTGATTTTCCTCCTCTTCCTTCCTTTGATACTTCAAATCCATGCCTCTTCTGACGCTTTCTTCCCTACTTTGAAACTTTTACCATCATCCTCTCAAAAAACCCTGCTAGCTCCATTATTTCAGGATCATATACTTATATATAGGAACCAACGCTATACATACTGCTTATCCGTATCCCAGATATATCTGTACACACATGCCCTTCTTGCTAAATCTATATATTGTACTACAAATTTTTGTTTTTGTTGATTAGGTGGTATACATATATTAATGATCACAATACAATAGAAATAATATTTATAGAATGATATATGAGATTCACATGTAATTAATCAAGAATGCTGAAAGAGAAAAGTATTATTGAATGAAAATGCTCCTTAAATAACTCCACCTGACACTAATCGCTATATATTTAAATATAATAATGATATATATACATATGATTGATGATGTATCTATCAAAAAGCCACCTGATTTTTGTGTCTCCCTTCTCGAGCAGGAAGGTATCCTTGATTCTTGATTGAATGAATTAAGATGAAAAATTAAAAAAAAAAAATTGGCATGACTGTGAGTTCCTTGTAGACAGGTATATTTTACGTTACATACATAGTTATCATTAACAATAAGAAAATAGAAGGAATCATAGGAGTGTCCTTAATTAGATATGTATATATAATTATTATACCTGAAGCCGTCCAAGTAAATGCCAGGACGCAGCAGCAGCCAAAGTAGCTGGTGTTGTTCGTAGAACAGAAGGAATCTAGAAAAGGATAATTCATGTCGGGTCGATGGAGATGTGTGTGTGTGTGTGCATATATATAGCTTCTAAAGGTGTAAATGTGTCTGTGCATATATGCGTACGTGTGTATGGATATATACCTGATATGAATTGGAAGAGAAAAAATGAGGAAGAAGAAGAGCAAGCATGATTAGTATATATACCTGATCTAACACCATACGTACGTAGCTGAAGATAAGTTTGAGCATGGAGCAGTACTGTGAGTCGGTGAGGTTGAAGAAAAATCAAGAAATTAAATATAATAAATTAATACGACAAAAATCAAACACAAACAAGAAATCAATTGAAAGGGTAAGTAAATGTAATGAGTGGTATTGACTGAAACTGCATCTTCTTTTAATTTCTCTTCACTTCACTTTTTTGCAGCCCATTAATCGCGCTTCTAATTTGGACTCTCAACGCAACTTTTCTTGACTTTAAATGTCTCTCTAATTAACAGTTTTTTTCTGCTTAAAAACTCCATTATATATATATATATATATATATGTATGTATAAACCTTGGCCGTGTTGATTGGTACTGTCTTGATCATTGGCGGTGGCTTCTTGCGCATCCTTTTTCAACAAAATCGTTTTTTCTTTCAATACATATATATATACACAACATTAATTCTTTCTTTTTTTCTTTTGTTTTGAAAAATTACGTACGGAAATGATTAAGAAAACAATAATTATGTAGAAATAACATATCGCGTGCTAGAGTGATAAAAGTATTTTTAGTAAGTTAAATGTGTAAGTAGCTAAAATATTTTCCAACACATACAGTAAAAATCTAGATCAATTATTAGTTTATTTTAAATGGGTCATGTCATGTACCAATTTGATCTTAATTATTGTGACTGAAAATAAAATTTGATAAACTTAATAAGAATAGTTTTTTTTTTTTTACTTGGATAATGCGGATTATAATTTCTTGTATATATGTTAGGAACAAAGAAGAATAAGAAGATTTTCTGATATTTCATTTTTGTGCAAGACCAACCTTATACTGCTTGTACAATAGCATGAAGAAAAAGACAAAAACAGTTATGATTAACAAACTAATTAAAGAGTCTAATTTCAACTAATCAATAATTAATCTTAATACTCCCCCTCAAGATGGAGAGTACAAATTTATTGTACCCATCTTGTTCAGCAAATTGTCGAACTGCGTAGGATGAAGTGCTTTTGTCATTAAATCCGCAAGTTGATTACGAGTTAATATATGCATTGTCTCCAAGGTACCATCTTAAATTTTCTCTCGAACAAAATGATAATCAAGTTCAATATGTTTTGTTCTCTCATGATACACTGAATTCGAAGCAATGTGTAGAGCTGCCTGATTATCACAATAAAGCAATGCAGGACCTTAATGTTGCACCCTTGATGTTGCACCTTTAAATCTCGTAACAAATTCAGAATCCACACTATTTCACATGTAGTATTGGCCATGGAATGATATTCGGCTTCTGCAGATGACTAAGACGCAACTTGTTGTTTTCTTTGATTTCCATAAAGACTAATGAAAATACAAGAAAAACACAATAATCAGTCAGAGATCTTTTAGTATCATGACATGTGCCCCAATCAGTATCAGAAAAAAACCTTAATTTTGGATGGTAGATGATGAAGGAAGGAAGAGACCCTGTTCAGGTGTTCTCTTGATGTATTGAAGAATCCGCAAAACACCCTGAAGATGACTGGTCCTAGGAGCAGTTAAGAACTGACTTAGTTTATTGACGGAAATAACATATATCAGGACGAGTAATGGTCAAGTACAACAATTTTCTAATCAGTCGCCGATAACTAGTGATATCATGCAGAGATTCTCCATCATCTTTGGATATCTTTTGATTGGGTTCCATGGGAGTAGATGAGAGCTTACAACCAAGGTACCCAGTTTCAGTTAATAGATCCAAAGCATATTTTCTCTGACATAAGGTGATTTCTGTGTTATTTCTTGCACTTTCAAGTCTAATAAAATATCATAGAGTTCCCAAATCTTTCATCTTAAATTTTTATTTGAGTGCAACTTTAAGTTCATCGACGGCATGATTATCATTACAAGCAATAATAATATCATCAACATATACCAACAATGCTAGAAAAATGTTACTCTGATGCTTGACAAACAAGGAGTGGTCACATTGTGACTGATGGAAACCTTCTTGAAGTAATACTTGTGAGAACTTGTGAAACCACTGTCGGGAAGCCTGTCTCAACCCATAGATTGACTTGTGTAGCCGGCAAACAAGTTGATGTGGAAGAATCTCCCCCTCTCGAGGAGAATATTATGGAGGAATATTCATAAAAACTTCTTCGTGAAGGTCACCATGAAGGAAAGCATTGGTGACGTCTAACTGAGTTAGACTCCAACCATGAATAGCAGCTAGGGAAAGTAAAATTTTTATAGTAACTAATTTTGCAACTGGAGAGAAAGTGTCAATGAAATCAATGCCAAATTGTTGTGTGTAACCCTTAGCAACCAGACAGGCTTTGTGTCTCTCTACGATCCCATCAGCTTGATATTTAACTTTATAAACTCACTTATAATCAACAGATTTATTCACAGTTGGAAGAGATACAACAGACCAAGTATTATTGTTTTCCAAAGCACGTAGCTCCACATTCATAGCGGTCCTCCAAACATCAAACTGGACAGCCTCAGAGAAGGTGGTGGGCACAGTGTGGGAGGAAAGAGCAAAAATAAAGTTGTGATATTGAGGTGTAAGCTTTGTATAAGTAAGGAAGGAGGAAATGGGGTAAAGTACATGTGTATCTGTATGATAGCAGTGATAGTCAGACAAATAAGAAGGTGGTCGTGTGACACGCAGAGGTCAAGGTGGTGTGATTTGGGAAGAGTCATGCGGTGAGTGGGAAGGTGAATAAGAAGAAACTGGTGAGTGTGTAGGTGTATGGAGAGGAAGAGGTAAGACACGGTCATGAAAAAAGTCATTGTGAATGGGACTCGGTGAGTGAGATGAAAGAAATGGAAAGATATGTTCATGAAAAATGATGTTTCGAGAGATGATGATTTGATTGCTCTCGATGTCGAGAAGTTTATATCCTTTGTAACCCGAGGGGTAACCGAGGAAGACACAAGCTCTAGAACAAGGTAAAAATTATGCCGATGACTATCGAAAGTGGAGCAATAGCATAGACAACCAAAGGTACGCAAATGATCATAAAAAGATTTTTTGTGAGTTAATAGTTCAAAAGGAGTTTTGTTAGATAATAAGGGAGAAGGTGTACGGTTGATCAGGTAAACAGCAATCAAGACGCAATCGCCCCAATAGAAAATAGGGATATGGAACTGAAATAGTAAGGCACATGCCACATTTAAAATGTGTTGATGTTTGTGCTCGACAACTGAGTTTTGTTGAGGAGTCTCAACACAGGAATGATAAGAAACAATGCCTTTTGACTTGAAAAATGAATGAAAACTCAATTCATGCGCATTTTCAGATCTCACATATTTAATGGGAATTTGATATTAGGTAAGGATGAGAGTATACACGTCAGAAAAAATGGTAAGAATATTCGACTTTTGACGAAGAAGATATACCCAGGTAGTGCGAGTGCAATCATCAACAATGGTAAGAAAGTATTTGTATTCCTCAATAGTAGATGTAGAAAAAGGGCCCCAAATATCAATGTGGATTAAATCAAATGGACGAATAGATAATTTATTGTGAGAAACAAAAGACAATTTATGTTGTTTAACCAAATGACAAATTTTGCAATAAGAAATATTCGAAATCTGTAAATCTTTATTAATGTACTGAAGTTTTACATAGAAATGATGACTCATTCTAAAGTATTATAGGCTACTTTTAGAATTAGCGGAAACAGTGTTAACAGTGGAAAAATAAAAATGCCTAGTAATTAAGTAGTAGAGGTTGCCAATGCGTCTACCCTTCCCAATCAATAAGTCCCGAGTGTGGTCCTGGATGACACAAGAATGAAGAGAAAAATTAATCGTACAGTTGTGGGTGTTAGTCAACAGACTGACACTGACAAGATTAAAAGAAAAATGATGGACGAATAAGACATCATGTAGGGTTAGGGTGTCGGTGAGGAACACATTTACAAGTTAAGTGACTAGCACGGAACTACTATTTGGTAAAGTAAGTGGGATGGGTTCAACATGCTTAAGGGTGGTGAAGAGATTAGGTGTGCAACATATGTGATGTGTGGCTCCAGAGTCAATAATCCAACATTTAGAGGTAAGTGTGTGTGTGAAACTGGAAAGGCAGAAGGTGATTGGTGATATACCTACCGCGTGAAGGTCAGAAGTAGTGTTGTTGGTGGGAGGAGAGAAGCTGTCCGGCGAGGTGGCGGAGTACGATTGGTGGAGCCGTGCGCTTAGGTGGGCAATAATATCCTGAATTTACGACGTGTTCAAAGAATCGATCGAGGCAGTGAATCAAGCGCCAGCAAGCAGGCAGTGGCGGAGGCGAAGCTCTGCACCTGTCGCACAGTAGGGTGCGTGCCCGAGGAAGAAGAAGAAGAGGTGTGTCCTGGAGGAGCCTGTTCGTGGGCCGAGACCCGGTTGGCAGAAGAAAGAACGGACCTGGACCCAGACCCAAATGAATTAAATGATTTAGTGCCAGGAGTGGGCCTAGATTGAGTTGAAACATTGCGGGTTTGGGCTTGGGCTTGGGCTTGTCATTCATTAAAAATAGCATGGTTGGAGTCAGGCGAGTGCAACTTGGGCTTGGGCTTGAAGCCCGGTGGATATCCATGTACCCGATAACACCTGTCCACAGTGTGGCCCCCAAGCCCACAGTGTGAACAGGTGGGTCGTCTTCGACCTTGAGCTAGGGCAACAGAAGAAGCAGACCCCGTAGCCGCCTCTGTGCACGCGTCGAAACTGATCGCACGGTGTCGTTCTTCTTGCACAACCAGCTAGAAAACCTTCAAAATGGATGGCAAAGATTCCATCATCAAGATTTGAGCCCTAACAGCAGCATAGGAAGGATTCAAACCCATCAAAAATATCATCACAAACTCCTGCTCTTGATAATCATTCCAAGCCTTCATGTTTCCACAATGATAGGTTGGAGCTGGTTGGTAAGTTTTGAGCTCATCCCAGATGGTTTTCATCCGTGTATAATAGGCGTTGATGCTGAGTGATCCTTGAATAAGGCTATTCATGCTCTGCTTCAGTTGGTAGATGCGCGAAGCATTGCTTTATTGATAACGGAGCCTCAAATCTGTCCAGATAAATTGTGCATTTTCATGGTATAATAAACTGTCATCTATTTCTTTTGTTACAGCATTCAACAACCAAGAAGTTACCATGCTATTAAAACGTGACCAAGCTCTGGCAGTGGAATCGGTACTGTTCGATTGGTCGTAAGTTCCATCTATGAAACCCAATTTGTTTTTGGCGTTCAACGGTATTCTGATTGCTCTCTCCCATGTGTTATAGTTGTTGCTATTGAGAAGGTTGGATACCAAGACCAATGCAGAGTGGTCGGCGCTATGAAGGAAGAAGGGGTTTTGTGAATCATCTGATGGCTCTCTAGCCATTGAAAATTAAAATTTGAAGCTAAAAATTATTTGATTAAAAGAACAAGCTCTGATACCATGTTAGGAACAGAAAAGAAGAAGAAGATTTTTTGATATTTCATTTTTGTGCAACACCAATCTTATACTGCTTGTACAATAGCATGAAGAAAAAGACAAAAACAATTATGATTAACAAACTAATTAAACAGCCTAATTTCAACTAATTAATGATTAATCTTAATAATATATCATTCCAGTAAAATAAAGTTACTTAAGTAAAGACTGAGACTTGAACTTGTCAGGAGCTTATGACAGCCGAACTGGTCAGTGCAAAAAAATGTGATGGGTCCACCGTGCATGGCGGTCCGCTAACCTCTTGATGTACATTCGACACTCCAGTTGTGAATTTCCCACTTTTTTGTATTGCTAAGAATACAACACTCGGTTTGTGATGGATTTTGGTGGTTTCAGCCGATTATGTCTGTGGCCCAAACAAAGTTTTGGAGCCCATTTGTTTGATCCCCAGTTCAAGAAAACTAGCAGAGAATGCGATAGAGAGAGAGAGAGAGAGAGGTGATATATGATTCTTTTTCTTTTTGTCATATATGTATATACAGTAGCAACGTTACATTAAACCTGTACTACAACGCCCTTCTACCACTACCACTTCAACTCACTATAACTGCCTAATTATCTATATTTTTTACCAAGAAAAAGAAAAGAAACTATCTATACCCTTGGTCCCATCTATCTCTCTGTACTTTATCTTTGCTACCTGATCAACTTCGTCTGCCAAACCACCATCATAGCCCATACCCAAGTGCTCTATGCCTTGACTGTAGAACCAGTTTGTGGAATAAGGAGTGACGGTAGGTCTCTAATCCGGGATCCGCTGCCCCAAAAAGAGGCAAGACAAAGGCCCATAATAGCCATGGCTACCACTGAACATGCTGGTGGAACAGCTTGACTACTTCCAAGGAACTGGGTTGCAAGCAGTCCTGCCATCGTAGAACTTTGCATTCCTGTGCATAACGAAATTGTCCTGCTAACTTCTTCTCCTTGCCTATAACATTAACCACATAATTTCAAATGTTATGCAAAACAACTCTGACTAATCTCCTTATCAATTCTAATTTACAAGTGAAAGAAAAATGAAATTGACAGAAGCTGGATACTGATGCATATTTTTCAAGTGAACTTTTACAGAAATCAAATGGTACCCTATTCAAGTTGAGGAGGAGGACCAGAAATTTGCAAAATAATGGATTCTTGGGAAAAAAAAAGGTGTTGCATTCAAAAGTTTTGGCAATAAAGTAATAAATGGGACGAATTATTAAGGAGGAAGACAGTAGCAGAATATAAAGTTCTCTATATTGTTTAACATCATCAGATTTACTGCAATCATGTGTGCGCTTCTTAAGGGAGTCACGAAGGATGACAACGCTGCAGGATGCAAATGGTGAATTAGAAAGCATTTGATAGTGGGATTAATTTAATCCGATCTTCCCCTTGTCCAGAAATATCAATAACCTAAATAAGTTATTCGGATAGTAGTGTCTACTGGGGCTCTTCAGCCAGTGGAGAAACATGGCTCTCTCCAGAACCATGAGGCATGTCCCGAGCTACATTCAACTCCAATTTTGAAAGGAAAAAGAATCTTATGTTGTTAAAAATTGAAATTTTCTAGTATAGATGGTATTTTAGTAGAAAACAGAACTAGGTTATTTTAGAAGCTAGACGTCTGAGTTTTAAATTCCAATGAAGGGTACAAGCTGAAAGGAGACTTGCGCCCATATAATTTATGGATAAGTGAACCAGAGTACTTCAGTTTATCATTTAATTATAAGATTTTGATGCAAAGCTACCCTTCTCTATTGTTATCATCAAATTTAAAACAAACAAGAAACCTTGATAATACTTTATCAGTAACTTTCAAAAGAAATCATTACCTCAGGGCTGGAATTCTGGAGACCCAGTATCCAAAAACGAATGATACAGTATGAAATGCCAACACTGGAAGAATCAATTGAAGTCCTTCTGCAGACAGAATCTGAGTCTGGTTTATTGCAAGAGGGCTACCAATGCACAAGGAGGTACATATCATAGCAACTATTGGCATGGTTGGTTGAACAAATGTCACAACTGGCTTCGCATAAGTATTAAGCACAAGGCCAAGAGCTACTGGAACAAGCACAACCTGACAAGAAACGTCAACAATGATTAGATATAAACCATGAAAACAAATATGATTTCAGCATAATTTTCCTCGTTAAGCAAGCTTCTACCTGTAATATCGACTTGGACATGGCAACTGCATCAACTGGGACAACAGACCCAATCAGAAGACCTGTTAAAAAAGGCGTAACGAGCACAGAAGCAATGGTGCTACAACTATTGAGAAGAATGCTGACGGCCACATCTCCTTTGCTTAAAAAACTGGCATAGCTAGACAACTGAGCCCCTGCAACACAAGATGTGAGGACAAAACCGGCATAGAACATTGGCGATATTCGGAATGCCTTTGCAATTAAAATCCCAAGTGCCGGTTTGAGAACATACTGGGCGATTAACCCAATAGTTAGCGGTAAAGGTCTGCAAGAAGATCAAAATTGAAATAACTTGGTCACTGATTCAAGATTACCCATGTACATTAAAACAACACAAACGTTAAAAGAACCAGAACAATGCCGAGAAAACAAATGCTGGTACCTTTTTAAAGCAAGAGCAAAATCATCAAAGGAAAGTTTAATTCCAATAGATAACATGATTCCACCAAGAGCAGGCGCATAATATTCTTTAGACACCCTGCACGGTTTTTAAATCCAAGAGTCTCTTAGTTCATTCATAAAACAAAAATGCCACATAATTCATGAGCCTAGGAAGGCTGACAAGAAGATGTACATAGTGTAGCAGTATCAGATGAACTGAAAAGAGAGTAAAAGATCTAGATAACAGAAAAAGACAGGACAACCCTGTCTTCCTTAACCAAACACATATTAGCAGCCACAGCTTCTTATATAAGTTTAGTGGATATAATTTATAATTAAGCTCACAAATGTTCCATCAAAAACAGAAAACGAAGCTTGCAAGTAACTGTTTTAGAGTTTCAAGCACTCCTTTTTAGCAAATATATATGAAGGGAGATAATATTTTGATTGATTAAGAAATAATTATTAAAGGACTAAGAGACTTAAACGATGTTAAAAGAAACAGGAGTCAATAATTTTTAATGTTTAAAAAGGGTAAACAGAAGTATTAAATTGAAAATACTGTTTTCAGCAACTTTTTAAAATGAAAAAGAAAAACAGGAACATAAACAAACATGGAAAACAATCGAAACAACCCAAAGACTAAATTCAACCATAATTTGACCCAATTGACTTTTTCAAAGTAAAATTAAGCTCGAAAATCCAAGTTAAAAAATCGAAAATTTCAAATTAGGGAAAAGCATATAAACAAACGTACCAAGTAAAAGTGGATGGGCGAGCAAGAGCAGCAATGGCAGTTGCAGCAACAACAAAAGGAAGCATTGCAGACAGAACCTGAGAGGAATCACTTTTTGCCACTTCAGTGACGCCACCAGGTTCTATCCCAAAAGAAAGCGAAGAACCATTGCCTTCCCTCCTACGCGATCCGATTCTTCCGATAAACGGCGACGTAGAGCACGCAAACGCCAACCCCCCACCACTGACAACGTTCCTCGCGGGCCTGGAAATCGAATGACAACAAAACGAATATGCACGGGAAGAAGAAGTTAAACGGAGAGCGTTGGTTTTGGAGGAGAGAGCGAGAGAAGGAAAGTTGAAGAGTGAGAGTTTGGGTTTAGTAGGAAATGGAGTGAAAGAGAGGAAGGGAATTGTGGTCATTTCGGTAGTTTAATCGATCAGTAGCTAATGGAAATTCCAGTCCGAATGAGAAGTGGTAGGGGAGGGGAGGGGAGGGGAGGGGGGGGGGGGATTGACGGCAGCGTCGCCGGAAGTAGTGGCTTCCGGCCAGAAAGTAAGAGTGGAGAGGAAGAAGGAGAGGTGATGGTTGAAGAGAGGAGGGGATAGAGTGATCATTTTATAAGGCGTTCAAGAACCAAGATCCAACGACTCATGTTTGATCAGTAGAAATGGACGGCGGGTAATTTCAAAGGTCAGTGGAGTTTGTTATTTTTGCAAGACAGTCCCCGTTGTTTTTTCAAATACACGTAACGGGTGAGGATTGAGGAATATTTGGGAAATAAGAGAAGAGTAGGGGAGGAATTGTAATTAAAAAAAAAAAAAAAAAGGGGGAGGGAACTGAAGAAGGAGAAAGCCGGTGAAAGTGCAAGAAGGGTCCGTGTCGGATGGTAGATGGGTTTGTTACAAAGCTCGAACAATAAGGCCGTGCATGTTATTTGAAATTGCCGCGTGTATTTTATTTATTTATTTATTTTTAATTTTAAATATCTAAATGTAACGGTCGAAAGATATTTTAAAATTAGAAGAAATTTAAAATAAAAAATAAAAAATATATTATAAAAAGAAAGTAAAATTAACATACTGAGTTCTATGATACAAAGTGTGACCATAATGTCATCTTTCTTTTTACGCAATTTAGTTATTAGTTTAGAATTTGTTAATCAAAGGAAATTTTCTTATTATTATCAAATATGCGCATAGTTAATTTTCAAATTAATTACTAACTACCCAATTAAAAGATGGTTTATTAATATTTATATAAATGGTTATTTTTTGTTTGAACATGGAGATGTTATGTTTACTACATATGATTGAAGTAAGAGGGAATTAAAATCCACTCTGTAGTGAATCAATTCGTTAACACCAATTTACAGTTCCATTTTTATATACATATATATATATATATATATATGACAGAGATAAGATGTTTGACATGAAGGTGACGCTGACTTTGATTTTGGTATTGGTGTAGAGGTTACGTGCTTCTGCAGCAGCTCACACAGTAAAGCAGGAGAAATCCAAATCAAAATAAGACAAAAAAATATTACCCCAAAGATCTCTGTGCCCATCTCCATTAATAATATCATATTCCCCCACAGGGATAAATTTTGGAAGATTGCGACGGTCGTCGTTCGCGTCACTTCACATTACAACTCACACCAAAAAAAGAAAAATGGAACTTCAATTATTTTAATCACCAAATATTGTTTCTTCTTGTCCTGGCTTATCATAATCATAATCATAATCATAATCATAATCACAATTACTTTTAACTCAATTAACACCATCTCTTTCTTGTCCAAACTTGCTTATTGTTAACATCAGTTTGATTTTTTTTTTTTTTTTTTACTCCTCTTAAATTATTCACCCAACAAACTCATTTACAGTTAAAAAAAAGTTTTTTTTTTTTTTAATTCACTTTTCTACTACAAATTACTATTATCCTACATGCTTAAAGCTTACAAATTATCATCTTTACACTAGCTGTATAGTTCTTTTCATAAAATATAAAAAAAACCACTGTAAATTTCATATTGATCGAGTAGATGACAAAAAATATCCGAATAGAAGCACATAACATGAGAATATTCCAAGGGTGAGACACAGCCAAGGAATGCAAGAACAGGAACAAGTACGAACACGTTTTGTATGTGTCGAATTATAAATAAATTAAAAAAAAAAAAAAAAAATTCCCTTCATTGGGTAAATAAGAACGAAATCACCTTCAACTACTTCATTCAGAATACCAAGATTGCATACGAATACGATGCAAACAAGGAGAAGCCACTGTATATTTTAGTAACATTTCACGTGCACTTAACCCAAAAAACCATTAAGAATGCCATACGCAATAGCTGTTTGTGTGCCACTCTGTCTCTTACACAAATTGAGAAAATGTTAGCAGATGTTTGCCAGATGGGTATGATCAATCAAGACTTCACGCAAGAGACAACAAGAGAAGACTACTGCAGTCAATTCATTTCAAACCACCAAACTAATACCCGGATACTGACAGGAAGAAAGCCTATAACAATATAATAGATAGTGCTTATTACCTTATTAAATCTGTAACGAGCCTAATGAGCAAAAGCTATGGCTAAACACGAAAGTACGACCAAGACTGCTTTTGGTTATGATTTAATGATGTCGAAACTACCATCTCATATAGGATTTCCTTTACCCTCTGTAAAAGAATCGAACTGCATCATGGGGCAAGCTCAAAATTCATGAGAAGTGACTGCAATTCACCAATCCTGGAGTTCCAGAAAATAATAAGGTTGACAAGTGACCACTAGAAAATATTAGCAATGGACCAACATCAGGAGTGTGCACTGCTGTGCGGAGAGAGTGAGTGGTGAGCCAGCAATGTGAAAAGAAACCCAAACGTATTAAAAGAGACGGAAGAAGCAGTGTCTATCTAAAGTCAGAAACCGGGGGGACCGCATTTTCCTAAGCCCTTTGGACCTTACTTGATAAATGGAAAAAAACTTGTCTTTTCATTGGGCAATTTAGGCAGGGTATCATCCAAAAGAAAACATATCCGTAATGTGGTGCAACGAAAATATCTGATATTGAAGGACCTAAAACCTGATAGTACACCAACAAATAGACTAGTATGTATTCTTGTACATGCCTAAATTTGCAGCACTTCCATACAAAGTGAACAAAGCTTTCTAGAGTAGTTGTCACCTTTTGTCATGGGGAAAGAATGATTAAAAAGATAAGCTCAACGGAGGAAGTGCTATGAATTACACAAACTTCAAGATAAATAGCATAGATCTCCGTGAGGCAGAACTTAGGTATACTAGCACGCTGCAGTCGGTTTAAACTGAAATATTGACTCGTAATTGTAGATATTTTTGTACAGAGTGAATGCTATCCTACAAGGAGACATCAACGTGCGACCGTTTGAATGCATACTAGAAAAATAAGCAGTGCGCTTACTAATCAGTTGAATGGACACCTGAAAAGTTGGTAATCTGCCCAAGCAACAACTCACAACACCATCCCCTCTCTCATATGTAAAAGCTTAAGCCCGGGGGAAAAGAAATTCTCCCAGTGGATGGTTTGATAGACAAAAAAATCTGAGAAAGTAATATACTTTTATATTCATCACCACACAAACCCTCTGTTCAAACTCCCTGACAACAGAAACAGAGTCCATCAAGGTTTACACCTGGGCACAACAATATAAATATAAGTCCCTCAATGAGAAAAAGATATGCTTTCCATACAAGAAAAATTGTCTCTAATTATTCATTCTCTTCGATGCACCCATTGCATAGGATATATAGCACATTACAAATTTTAAACAAAAACAGGATACATACAGGAGAATCAGAAGATTTAAAGGAAATAGAGATTACGGCATATAAAGGCCAAGATCGAAGAAAGCTGAAAGAAAGGAATATGAAAAATAGGCAGAGAGCTTTTATTATTGAAATTTTATATCATGATTCAAGGAAGGTATATGCCTCTCACCAATGTAAAACTTATGCTACAAAGAGAAAAAAACTTGATACAGCACCCGTGTTTATACTCATAATACAATAAATTTAACATATGGAATGAAATATTGAAGATTTATCACCTGTAATCATCTCGACTGAATGCTCCTCTCTCTTCTGACTTCTTTAGGCCAGGCATAATTGACCATACCATTGATGCCTCATCTAATATTCCTATAAATTGAATTAACCGGCCATTCTCATGTAGACAGGAGCATGACTTGATAAGTTCCCAGATTCAGCACTATATGGAAAAAGGAAAATGCAAGCAAAGCACACAGGACGGAAGCATAGGACCTGCTAAAGCATACTCTCAGATGACATTTACAGGGGAGAACCGAAGAACCCATGACCAGCTGATTGAGCTATTGTGCAATTTATAAAGAAACTTCCTGAAAAATCTACAGCACATCCCTTGCAAAATTTTCCTGAACAAGTTGATACCGCAGCTTCCCAGATTGACTCTGCACGTAAAACATATATTTCTGGTGAGTTAGTTACAGACCCATCTGATATTAACATTGGATAATATAATTTGAAGAGATGTGCCACTCGGACATCAATTATCTTGAGCTCACTAATTTTACATCATGTTAGAGAGCAAAAGAAAAAATTGAAGTACTACAGAGAAAAAATAGTGGAATCTCAAATAAATAAATAAAAGCAAAGCAAAACAAAACCAAAATCTTCTAACGTTCTTTTCTAAGCAATTATTTAAGAGGAGATTAAAGACGTCAGATTAAAAAGATTTTATGATCAATAAAAATTAAGAACGTATGTAACTATAAAAGTAAGCACGAATCAAACCTTAGATACTGCTTCAGCTAACAACTTGCCATCCCGAATATCATGATCCGACCAGGAACGCCCGACGGCCACACAGTCCCTGGGTGTCTCAAACAACGACAACGAGAACTGCTTATAGACGACACCAACATCGAAGTAAATAAGCCCAGAACTGGGTACATCGACCCGAATCCCCACAACCGGGAACCAGAGGAAGAGCTCTTGAGCTGAGATACCCGACAAGGCTCCGATCTGGCCGTAGCTCAGTTTTCCGGTAACGTTGACATCATAATGCAATTCACTCTCGAACTTCGCATTGCAAGCCTGATCTAGGTGGACCTCGAAATGCCCCGTTTCGTTGATGTCAAACTTCTTGACGCCCTTGGGCAGCAGGCCCATGGGAAGTCCGTGCTCCCGCAGGATGTCGTATATCGATTGCCGCTCCGAGCTTACAGGAGCGATTGAGATTGCGAGCGCAAGAAGGATTTGAAGAAACCCCCAATGAATCAGAGAAAGCATTTTGTATGCTTTTTGTATGTTTCTCCTTTTTTCTCTGGTTAAAGCATGAGGTGAAAGTGCAGAGAATTTAATGGGTCCAAATTTTTAGTGTTTGTCGTTGTTCCCGTCGTTGTTTGTTCTTTGCCCGGAGCAAACTTAGGGTTAGGGTTTAAGAGAATTTTGAAGAGAGAGGAGGAGAAATGCAGAAGAAGTAGAAGGAGACAGTGGTGCCAGCCTGAGTACAGAGAGGATTAGGAGAATGATCAATTATTGGAGGTGATAGTGGGCCCCGTCTCTCGAACACTGGCTATTATCATCTATGAGTATCATCTTTTCACCGTAAGCATCAACCAATCAAAAACAACCACGTGTCGAAACAAATAGTAGTATTGTCAATCGAACAGAAACCCAGGCCATTTATGTGGAGCTCGTATGGCACGTGGCAAGGGTTAGGAAAGTCTGGTGGATGGTGGCGTCCTAATTTTTCCTAGTGAGTGGTTTCACGCGCTACGTAGGAGCGTGAAATAAGTGGCGGGGGCTGCGCGGTGGAGAGAGGAGAGGATTAACATAAGACAGGAGGCATGAGGAAAGTATGATTTAACGAACTTGAGGGAGGCCACGTTTGGCAGTGGAAATTAAAACCGAACTGGAAAAGAGTGCAGACCGAAGAAACAATCGTTGTCTGAAAAGAGAATCCAAACACGAGTAGAGTATCGTCATCATGATGTCATTCCTTTTCGAAATTACCCCATCGCGGTTGACCTCTGGTAAAAGTAAAAATTACTCCCTCTCAGCCCCATCAAGACCGAATCAACTAATACTAAAAATGCTAATAAAAATTACCACTTATTATTAACAGTAACTTATAATTAATAAAAAGTAAAAATGGTTTAGAGAGAGACATAGCATGTGAGGGATTATGATTATGATTTTGTCTTGACACGAATAATTTCAGTAATTAATTGAATTTTTGGTAATTTGTAGTGTAGGCATGTCTGTGTGAATAATTGTTGTGTGTGTGTGTGTATATATATATATATATATATATATATTGAAGGGTTCAAATGAGGTATCATTTGATTCAACTACTTGCTTCTTCTTCTTCTTCTTCTCTCTACATTATTATTAAACATTTGTACGGTCTTAAATACTCATTACCCATCATGTTCCAAGCTAATTATATTATATTTATTAATTTATTTTTGTTTAAATTCATATAAATTCCCTACATATTCAGAATTATGATTAATGATGAATTTTCAGTTATGAAAATTTTATTATGATTTTTCGTACTGTATTTTAAATTATTTTTCGAAAGAGTAAATGAGATTTTTAAATAAATTAGTAGGTATACAGTAAAGTAAAGTATTGTTTGAGAGTCTATTATAATTTTAAAAAATAATAATTAAATTAAATTCACACATATTTGATTTAAGATAATAATTATTTTATTAATTAAACAAAAACGTTTTCTTCTTGTTTTACTCTCTCGTATTATAAAACATTCCACGTTTTAATTAAAACTTAATCAGCCAAAGCTGGCTGTTAAACGTAAAACTAATTTTGTAATTGAATATAGACCTATAAGATAAAAGCTGAATGTTCTACTATAAATGTATATTTAAAATATTTGATCGAGTATTTTTTAATTTAAGATAAATACACCAATTATCATACTCTAACTATCTAATAAGAACATGAATTTACACGTTGTGAATAAAACTTCATATTCTTCGATTTAGTCTTTTTTTTCAGTTTATAAAAATATTTAAATAGTTTTAGTTAAAAATATTTAGTACTAATTAAAATAAAATACAATATAATATAATATTTAATAATAAATATAAACTAACATTATAAATATACAATTTAATTTAATAGCTATTAATTAAGATTTAGTTAATTTGAATAAAATTAAAAATTTATTAATTGCACCGAACAAGATAAATAAATTATTAAATTATTTTCACACCATCAATCTAAAATGCACCGAATCAGATTAAGGCAAGAACCGGGCCAACTATGCTTGGTAACTGTGTGTTCAATAGGAACTTGTGTTAATTTTATGGGCTGGTGTTGGATAAAGACTATTCAACTTATGGACATTTTCAATATATATATATATATACGTAAATTAAATTCTTTTATAAGTTCTTACTTTTAATAGTCATTTTTAGAATACTTGATCTTATTAATATTCATATAAATTAGTAAAAAAAAAAATATGGAAATTACGTCGGCGACAGCATATAGTATATAAAAAGGATATTGCGAGTTACCAAAAAAACAAATATTAGTGCAAATTGTTATGTAAATTACACAAGTTTTTAGTTTTACGTCTATGATTGGCGTTTTCGTTTTGGAGTAGAAATATAACTGCATGAATGAACTAGCTGGGATTTTTTTGTCAAACACTCGATGTGCAACTCCAATTCGGGCCATTACCCAGTAAAGTAAGCTTATCAAATATGAATTTCTTATGTCATTTTTGTTGTAATCTTGAGTTCTTGATCGCGCAGGCGTCAAGATATTTTAAAGCAAGTCAGATGCGAAAATGGTGGTACAGATCAAGCTGGCGTCAATCTCAAGAATCTATATCCATGGCTAATATAGCCTAATGGGTACCAAATCTTTTATTGTCTTCGACGAGTCCTTTTTTTGGGAAGATCCCGATTTCGAAGCTGTCGGTCAAAATGAGTCAGCATATGCTTTTTACTGTGCGCTCTGTGAGAATGTGACAAAGAAATTGGCCCATGAGTTTGAAAATGTTGAAGAAACACCGTGGCATTTACTTGATTTTCTGTAGAACATGGAAGAGAAAGCCATGGGGATTGGGACCCAGTTCGGACTCGAAGCCTCAGACGCGCTCATTCATCAAACATGGCCTTTCTGCCCTTCCCCACGTGCCTTTTCTCTCTCCCCCTCACTGTACTGCGGCCGCTTTACTCGCAAAAGCCAAGCACTTTGATTGTTTTTTCTTTTTCCTCTGGCACATTTACGCGTTCTTACACGGGAGAAAGAGAAAGATAAGATTATCAAAACACATCCGTTGAGGGAGAGAGCGAGCGAGAGGGATCCGATGCCCTACGGTGTATCCTGTTATGGTGTTCCTTTCTTCTTTGTGGTGGGTGTGCTCTTCTTGGTGACTGGTTGTTTTGCAGGCGACCCTTATGTGTTTTATGACTGGACTGTGTCTTATGTCTCTGCATCCCCACTTGGAGTTAAACAGCAGGTTCCCATTTTTTCCCTATATTATTTTCTGCAATTCTTTTGTGTTAGTTTTTCACTGTTTGCTGAGCTTCAAAGATTATAAGGAACAATTCTCTGAATTTAGTAGTTCATAATAGAATTAAATGTTACTTGTAGTCATACTAGTGATTGATAAAAAAATTTATCGTAAAATAATGGAGATTACCCTCGCTTAATCATCTGCAGTAGCTTGTTAGGAGTATGGTTATGCTTATGGCAGTCAGCGGCTACTTTTCTTGAATTGTTTTACAATTTGCGATTGTACGCTCGCCGGCTTCTGCCTTGAAGTTTCGGGTCATTTTCTATGATATAGTATCATAGTAAATCTAATTATCCCTGAACATGCAATCATTGGTTAAGGTGACTGTGCGTGATGAAAAAGAGGAATACCCTTGTCTACTTGGGCATTACTTTCCTCCAATTTGTGGGTCTTTCATGTTTATTTTTTTTGGTTATAGTGATGAAAATGAGGTTCAAATACCATTATTGGAGCAGTGTATGTCACCACCTCCAATCTCAGAATTTTCAGGTTCCATGTTGCTCAATTTACCCAAACTCCTGCCACGACTAATCATTGGTTAAGGTGATGGATTAACCAATGTCTTTATGTGTGGCATTGAAGCATGTTATGGTCATGTGGATATGTCTGCTGAACCCATCTTTATTTGTGAACCTTTGGTGTTTCGATTATGTTGTATGCAGTTTTCATATTCTAAACCAATGTACGTTCGTTTCACCATCTGTATTGTTGTAACTTTTTAAGTAGCACTTATCCATCTTCTTGTTTAGCTGATTGTCTCTACCACCTAAGGCATATTTTTCAATCTCTTACTCCTGTTTTCTTTGCTAAAATGCCATTCTTAATGTTGGGCCAAATTTTCTGTTTAATTTTTTTGCTCGAATGTCATCATTTTAGGTGATTGGGATTAATGGGCAGTTCCCAGGACCAATTCTGAACATTACAACAAATTGGAATGTCGTCATTAATGTCAAGAATGATCTTGATGAACCTTTGCTTCTCACATGGTACAACATATGTCTAACATCAAGGTCAAACTGTATATGGAAAGAATGATGAAATACATTAGTGCTAACAGTTCTGCCATTAATGTAGGAATGGCATACAACAAAGGAAAAACTCCTGGCAAGATGGTGTTTCAGGAACTAATTGTCCGATTCCTGCCGGTTGGAACTGGACATATCAGTTTCAGGTCAAAGATCAGATTGGAAGCTTCTTTTACTTCCCTTCTTTAAACTTCCAGAGAGCTGCAGGTGGATATGGAGGAATTATTGTGAACAATAGGGATGTTATTCCACTCCCCTTTGGTCTCCCTGATGGAGATATTACCATCTTTATCAGTGACTGGTATACTAAGAGTCACAAGGTCAGTAGAATCTTTGATTTGCTTGTTTCTTGTTCTCTAGATAATTTCTTCTTGATTTCTGGGGTGTTGACCAATGCTATGGGGAAGCAGAAACTGAGAAAAGATGTTGAAAATGGAATTGACCCTGGAGTTCCTGATGGTGTCGTCATGAATGGATTTGGTCCCTATCGCTATGACGAGGCACTTGTTGCAGATGGAATTACTTTTCAGATAATAAATGTTGAACCCGGTAAGCAAGGAACGAGAAATATTTTAGTTTGTGGTTGTTTCTATCTATGGAACATATCTTGGTTGGAGGAATCAAATTACATATACAAGCCCACATTTCTACAACTATACTTAGAATTCTCAAACGCTTAGTTGGGTTTCCCTTGAGCTGTTAGTGACTGAATGATGCCAATGTATATAAAGAAAAAAATATGCAACTATACGCTTTTCTGTTATAGAAAAATGATGGCCTTCAAAATGACAGAAAACTAAAACTCAATCTGTTACGCATATCACTGGACGTATCTAGAAGATGGATTTAATGTTCACATGTTAAAATGATACATATCTTTAATAGGATATCTGTTTTTTGTTTAGCATTCCATAATATAGCTCCAACTTGTGGAATCTCATCTCTTTCTTTTTTCTTTCTGAACATCTCTCGACGTAAGGTACTTCTGGCTGCTTTCTTTCTTAATGGGTTGGCATTCTAACAACGTTCATTCAGAACTAAACCATTCTGCTTTGTTATTCTTAGTGTTCCATGTAAGTCTATCTTTCTAGTCACAGTTTTTAAACTGAGCCAATATTTTTGTCATACCTTTTGTCAAATCTAATGGGTCTCCTACCCATTCATTGGTGAGAGGATGACCCTTGAACAAAATAAAGATTCTGTAAAAAGGAGAAATAATATCTTAAAATCTCTGTAGTTTGTTTCTTCTTATAACCCAAAAATATAGCTAGAGGGATAAGAATGTGGAGAATGAAGTATACATTTTATTGAATATTAGCGCCTTATGATATAGGTTATATGTGCAATAAAAGGAAATACACTTAATTATAATGAGAATGGTATATTACTAATGCGCCGTTTACCCTATTTAATACATACATTACACTTCTCAGCACTTTTCCTCAAGCTGATGAATATTGAAACACAAGATTACTCAACCCTTTAGTCAATACATATGCGAATTATGAAACAGTGGACATATAGGATGTGCATATCAATCCATCATCCAGTTTTTCTTGATGAAGTGTCAGTCAACTTCAACGTGCTTGGTTCTGTTGTGTTGTACTGGATTATGAACAATACTGATTGCTGCCTTATTGTCATAGTATGGTCTCATAAGACTGTTCCCTTCGATTGTCAAATATTCTAGGATCATCCTCAACTGTAGGAGTTCTCATAGCGTTTGAGCCATGATCTTGAATTTTGACTCTGCAGACTGGGTTACCAAATTCTGCTTCTGACTTCTATAAGTAACTAGTCCTCAAGGAAGGTACAATACCCTGTAGTCGATCCCTTGTTGACTAAGGATCCGGCATACTTGGCATTGGCGTAGACCTCAAGATGTAATCCACAGTTGGTTGGTCTGAATTGCAGGTGGCTGTGTAGGTGGGCACTTGGCTGTCTGACTGGAGGAGTATAGTTGTGCAGCTGCTGGTGAGGTGCCTCTGCTGGTGGGCAGCTGCTAGTGTCAGCTGCCTGGTTTCCTTTGGTGGCAGCTAACTGGTTGTTTTCCAGCTATGAAGGTCGGTGGGGATGGTGGTTGGTGTAGTGGCCGGCTACAAAGGCTGGCCCCTTTTAGGGTTCCTTTGGTGGCAGCTAACTGGTTGTTTTCCACCTATAATTGCCAGTGG